CCTGATTTCCAGACTTTTTTTCTAACTGATTTTGACTTTTTCCCTGACCCCAAAGAATATTCTCGATTCACCCCAAAAATTATTAGATTTTCAAAAAAATGTTCTATTACATTTATTTAAAAAATTTCTTCAAATGTAAAATTATTCAAAAACATCAATAACTTCTTTTTTTTTATTAATTGTGAAAATAATTGAATTCCTAAAAAGAATTTTATTATTTTTGAACAATGTTTAATTTTTGCGAAGAATAATATTACTCTTAAAAATAATTGTATTTCTGCAATAATTTGTAACTTTTCCAAAAAGTTAAATTGTTTTTCGTGTTTTTAACTAAAATTCTTCTATATAAATGTATTATTTTTAATAATTTTTAAAAAAGTTCTTTGAAAATTTTTAAATTCATTTGTTTACAATGCAATTTTACAGAATTTCAAATATCAGTAAATTCTTCAATTATTATAAATATATATTTGAAAATAAAAACTTCAAATAATTTTTTAAAAAATCCGCAATTAAACTTTCTCAAAAAAAAAAAAATTAATTCAACATAATTGTTAGTTAAAAGTATAAAAAAATCAAATTTTCAAAGATTTTAATTTGAACCCTTTTCGAATATTCCATTATGTCTAATAATTCACGCTATAATGTTTTTAATATTCAATTATAATTTAAAATTTTAAGTGAAATTCACTGTTTAATCATTTTTTATTAGAAAATTTGTCGAGAATTCCAATTATTTAAATACAAAAATAAATAATTAAATATTTCTTCAAATTGAATTTTTATGAAGAATTTTATCAAAATTGTTTTTAAAATAATTAAATTCTTTTGGCGAATTTAAAAAAAAATTTAAGAATAAATGCAATTTTCTATCATTTTATTTAAAATTGTACAAAAAAATAATTGAAATTCCGCGATAAGTTTTGTTATTTATGAAAATAATTGAATTCTTGAAACAAATTTTATTAAAATTTTTCTAAAGAATTGAATTCCTGTGAAGAATTTTATTTGCGAAAATAATTGAATTCCGGAGAAAAATATTATTATTTATGAAAATAATTAATTTCTTGTGAAGAATTTTATTCAAATTTTTTTAAATAATTGAATTTCTCAGAAATTTTTAAATCTTTTTGAATATAATTAAATTTCATCTAGAAATTTTATTAAAAAGTTGTCAGTAATTGAAATCTGACGAAGAATTTTATAAAATTTTTTTTAAATAAATGAATTCCTTGTGAAAATGTTTATTTTTGAAAAGAATTGAATTATTGGGCAGAATTTTATTAAAATTTCTTGAAGAATTGAATTGCTTTGAAGAATTTTATTTTTTACGAAAATAATTGAATTGTTTCAAAGATTTTTACAAACATTTTTAACAATAATTGTATTCCTAGAAAGAATATTATATTTTACGAAAATAATTGTATTCTATAATCAATTTTATTATATTTTTTCAAATTTATAAACCATTTTATCAAACTTTTTTTAAAATAATTGAATTCTTGAGAAAAAGTTTATTATTCATGAAAATAAAATTGATTTCTTGCGAAGAATTTTATTCAAATTTTCTTAAATAATTGGAATTCCCATTAAAAAAATGTATCATTTGTGAAAGTAATTGAATTCTTAAGAAAAATTGTATTGAAAATAATTTAAGTGTAAAGGAAAATTTTATTAAAATATTTATTCGAAATAATTGAATTTCTCAGAACTATTTTTTTCAATTTTCTGAATATATTTGAATTCTTTCGAGAAACTTCATTAAAAAATGGAAAATAATTGAATTGGTGTGAAGAAATTTATAAAAAATTTATAAGTAATTAAATTCCTGTGAAATTTTTATTAAAATTTTGTTTAAATAATTTAATTCTTTTGGAAGATTTTATTAAAATAGTAGATATTAAAAATAATTGAAATGTGGAACCCAATTTTTGCAACTACATAATTGAAATTTTGCTAAGAATTTTATTTATTATTATTATTATTATTATTATTATTTATTATTATTATTATTTATTATTTATTATTATTATTATTTTTATTTTTATTATTATTATTATTATTATTATTATTATTATTATTATTATTTTTATTTATTATTATTTATTTTATTTTAATTTTTTTGAAAATATAATTGAATTTCGAAGAAGAATTTTTTTATTTATAAAGATTATGAACGCAACTCTTTTGAAATCCAATTAATTTTGAAATTTTTAAGTAAATTTCATAGTTTATTAGGCAAAAAAAAAAAAAAAAAAAAAATTCAGAATTTTCTTATAAATTCTAAAAATTAAATTTTTTGCAGTACTTTTAATAAAAGACCCTGACTTTTTCCTGATTTCCCTGACTTTCCTGACCTGTGGCAACACTGTACACATTATATTTTAGTTGTTTTCGAGACAATCGAGATGGCACAGAGTGTTCTTGCACTTTTACGAAAATGCTCTCGCACTCTCGCAAGGGTAAGAAGCTATTTTCTGCATAAACGCGTTAAGGTAACTTTCCTCCCTTAAAATTCCAGGGGGCTGAAAATCGCGCGGGCTCCGGAATCACCGCCTGCCAGTTATTATAAATTGAATGCCGAAGAAGATGAGAAACCGCGAGAAAGGAGGTGATAAAGGGGAGGAAACAGTTTACGAGGTCGCGTAATTCTGCTGACAAATACATACCAGACCAGCTTCGTCGACTTACGATGACACTGATCTGTGAAATTCTTGGAAATTGGGTATAACAGTTTGAAAATATCGTTTAGCGGCTTCTGCTTCGCTTATTACCTCTGTCGTCTTATATTGGCTTTTCAAGTGATAATAATACTTTCATTATACGATACAGAGGGCCCGGGTAAATTGACTAGGGCAGCGAAATTATAATCTTATAAAACCCATTCAGTTGCCTTAAAAGAAAATTATCGTGCGTACGTGTTTCTTTTTAATCGTTAAATTCAAAATTTTTACAAATATGCAAAAAAAATTGGGAAAAAATCTGAACCCAATTTTTCTGCTACAATCTGTTTTTTGATTATCTGTTTTGTATATTAAAATGAGTTGAAAGAAAACTTCAGATTTTTTAAGGTTTCTACGATTTGATACTATTTGGATATTTTTAGATTTGAGACACTAAAAGCTACAATATTCTATGTTTGAGAATTTGCACTACTTTCAATTCAATAACTGCTGGAATACAAAAATTATTCTAAAAAATTTTAATAAAATAGATAGAATTAATATTAGAAATAATTTAACAAATTTTAATAAAATTCTTTCAAATGATTCAATTACTAATATAAACTTTCACAGGAATTTAATTATTATTTAAAACACAATTTTCATACAATTTTTTAATAAGACTTATTATTTAAAATGATTTTTCTTCGGAAGAACTTAATTAATTTAAAAAATTTTTCGAAATTCAATTATTTTAAATATTTACTATTTCAAAAAAACTTCTCAAAAAAATTCAATTTTCTTTTTAAATTTATAAAAAAATTTTCAAACATTCAATTGTTTTCATAAAATAATAAAACTTTTACAGCAATTCTATTATTTAAAAAAAAATATTTGCGTAAAATTTCTTTAAAAAATTCAATTATTTAAAAAGATTTTTATAAAATTCTTCCCAAGAATTCAATTATTTTTAAAAATTGTAATAAAATTTTTGTCAAACTTTCAATTATTTTTGCACATTATTCTCCATTCAATGATTTTCAATATCTACTATTTTAATAAAATTTTCCAAAAGAATTCAATTATTTAAATATAAAATTTTAATAAAATGCTACGCAAACATTTAATTACTTTCATAAATAATGAAAAATTCAAAGGAATTATTGCACGGAATTTTATTAAAATTTCTTTAAATAATTGAATTCCTGAGGAAAATTTTATTGTTTATAAAAATAATTAAATTCTTGGGAAGAATTTTATCAAAATCTATTTAAATTTTAAATAATTGAATTTTTTTGAGAAATTTCACCGAAAATATTTTTTTGAATAGTAAAATTCCTGTAAAAGTTTTATTGTAAGAAAACAATTGGATGTTTGAAAAAAATTTTTATAAATTTAAAAAGAAAATTGAATTCTTCTGTAAAATTTTATTAAAATAGAAAATAAATGAAAATCATTGAATTGAGTGAAACTTTTGAAAATAATTGAATTTCGAAGAAGAATTTTAATATTTTTAAAGATCATTGAATTTTTGACTCACAGTTTTCAAATGGATATCAAATTGAAACAAAAAACGAATTTAAAATTGAAAAAATTTGAATGTTTTGTATATTAGAATTTAAATTTTTTCAAAATATTTAATGAAATCATTTTGTAACAATTGAATTATTTTCATAAAATTTTAATAAAATTCTTCTCAAGAATTTTATTTTTAATTTTTGAAAATAATTTAATTTTGGCGAAAGAATTTTTTATTTATAAAGATAATTGACATCTTGACGATATTTTTTTAATTTTTCAAAATAATTGAATTTCAATTATTTTTAATACAATTTTAATCGAATTTCTCGAAAAATGTACCTAATTATTTTTAAAAATTTTATTAAAATTCGTCAAAAATATACAATTATTTAAAAATTTGTTGATAAAATTCTTTATGGGAATTGAATTTTAAGAAACATTCAGTTATTCAATAAATTATTTATTTTTTATTTAAATAATTGAATTCGAGTAGAATTTTCTAATATAAAATTTTTTCGAAATTCTTGGGTAGTAATATCTACTACTTCAATAAAATTTACCAAAAGAATTCAATTTTTTAAACAAAGTTTTGAAATAAATTCTTCTTAAGAATTCAATTATTTTCATAGGTTATAAAATTGCTTGAATAAATTTGATTGTTTTCAAAAATTCTTATAACATTCTTTGGAGAAATTTCATTATTTTCAATACAATTTGAATAAAATTTCTTGACGAAGTTTAATTTTTTTAAGTTAACAAAATTTGTAATGTATAATAATAATTACAATTATTAATAAGTATTATTTTTCTTTTCAGATGAGTGTTCGAGTGTTTAAATACTGCGATCAATTTATAATAAGAAAAAATTATTTTTTTCTTTTCTAAAGTAGATTCGGGAGTGATCGAATATTTTAAAACCGCGACCGTTTAGTAATAGCAGGCTTCACAGTTTTTCCCCTATTTCCCTAAAAGTCCCCTTTTTTTAATTTTGGTCCCTAAACGCACCCTATTTTGAAAATTTCCCCTAAATTTCCCCTATTTTTTTCGTCGCAAGAAATCAATTATTTCCAATAATTTTTAAGTAATTCTGCAAAATAATTCAACTATCTTGATAACCAACAAAATTCTCCCCATAAAATCAAGTAGTTTAAGGATTTCTAATGAAATTCTTTTCAAGAATTCAATTATTTTTATAAACAGCAAAATTTTTCGCCAAAAATTTAAATAAAATTCATTGCAAAATTTCAATTATTTTCAAAAGTTTTTCGCAATTCAATGTTTTTAAATATTGACTATTTTCATAAAATTTACTAACAGATTTAATTATAGAAAAAACTTGTTGATACAATTCTACGAAAAGATTTAATTATTTTCATAAATAATAAAATTTCATTTACGAATTCGATTATTTTCATCGCAGAATTTCAAATATTTTTAATACAATTTTAAATAAATTCCTTGAAAAATGCAATTATTATTAAAAATTTTATTAAAACTTGAGGAAAGAATTCAGTTTTAAGAAACATTCAATTATTCAATAAAACAATAAAATTCGTTGCAATAATTCAAATATTTTTATAAATAACATTTATAATTCGTCGCAGAAAATCAATTATTTTCAAAAATTTTTAAGTAATTTTGCAAAAGAATTCAATTAGCTTGATAAACAACAAAATCGCAGAATTTCTTCCCATAAAATCAATTATTCTAAGGAGTTTTAATAAAATTCTTTTCCAAAATTCAATTATTTTGATAAATATCAAAATTCATCATAAGAATTCGATTCTTTTGAAAAGTAATAAAATACTTTGCAGAAATTAAATTATTTTTAAAATTCTTTAAAAGTTCTCGTCAAGAATTAAATTATCTTTGTAAATAGATAGGGAAATTCTTCTTGAGAATTAAATTATTGTCAAAATTTTTTTAAAAATTCTTCTCGAGAAGTCAATTATTCTCAAAAATTTTAATAAAATTCTTCTCATGAATTCAATTGTTTTCAAAAATTATTATTTAAATACTTCTCAGAAATTCAATTATGAAATCAATTTTTAAAAAATTTAATAAAATTCTTAAAATAGTTTTCAATTATTTTCAAAAATTGTTATAAAATTCTTTAAATATAATAAATTTCATTAAAATTTTAATTAAATTCCTCAAAAGAAATTAAATATTTTCAAAAGTTGATAATACAATTCTTCGTAAAAATTAAAGTTTAAAAAACATTCAATATTATTTATTTTTGTATTTAAATAATTGATTTCTCGTAGAATTAAATTATTGTTCTTCGTACTTTTAATTAACAATTCTGTAGAATTAATTTTTTTTTGAAAAAGTGTAATTGAATAATAATTGATGTTATTGATTTAAAGTAGAATTTTAGTTAGAAATTCTAGAAAATGTTAATTGAATTGAAATGATAGAAATAATTTTGAAGAAATTACAGTAACAATAGTCTCATAATAATAAAATAATGATTTTGTCAGTCCGTCATTTTTAATTATTATAAAACATAAAGAAATGGATCACTCCGAGTCTTCGACTCGAAGTGATCAATTTCTTTATGTTTTATAATAATATTCTTCTGAGTTGTTCAATTTGAAAGTTTTTAAAATCTTAATTCCAATGAAAAAAGAATAAAAAATGATTAAATATTTTTAAAAATGAAGTTATTGATGTTTGCGAATAATTTTTTTTTTTAAATAATTTTTTTTAGAAATTTGTAAATACATTTAGTAAAACATTTTTTTGAGTATCTAATAATTTTTAGAGTGAATCAGAATATTATTTAGGGTCAGGGAAAAATATAAGTGAAAGTTGTGTTTGGAAATCAGGGAAAAGTCAGGGAAAAATAAAGTTAAATTTTTGTGGCAACCCTGTATAAATAAATTATATTTTTATGTTTATTTAACCAATTTTTATGGTCCTCTAAAAGTTCTCTATTTTTTAATTTTCAGTCCCCTATTTTCCCTAAAATACTTTTTAGTGGAACTGTGAAGTCTGTAATAGTAAATAGTGAATTTTTTTTAGTGTATTTTAGAGAGTGATCGAATAGTTTAAACTTTAAAACCGCGTTTCTAATTTGATTTCGGGAGTGTTGAAATTCATCGTACAAACTACGTCTCAGCGGAAAAATTCCACGCCTGGAAGAGCAACCCTCGAAAATCAACCTGGAAGTGGACGACGATGACAAGGTTAGAAGAATTTTTGTTTACTCATAATTAAATTATATTTCAACATTTAGCGATAATTTAGCAAATCTTCGACTTTTAATCTCCAATAATTTTATTTTTGTAAATTTTTTAAACTTTAATGTTTAAATAACGAGAAGTAGTGTAAGTAAGTACACAGTTTTTCTAAGGATATCAAATTGAGGCAATAAAATAATAAATGTATCAAAATAGTTGCGAAGCATAATTTTTGATAGGCTTTTTGTCTCAATTTGATATCGGCATAAAAACTGTGTATTAATGAAAAAGTTAAAATGTCTAAGGCAATAAATAGGGACATAAAAATTTACACAAGTTAGTTTGAAATTATATTTGTGATTCTAATGAGTGTATGTAAGGAATTAAGAGACTCATGAAAAGGGTTTATAAAGCCGAAATAGGGGGGGTGGGAATTCCCAGGTTTACGTTTACAACCTTAACTACAAATTCGACAGAGTTACCGAAGCATAGGAGGGAGGATTGTGTCTCGCAAGAGTGGTCGGGTGCGTGTAGAAACCAACTCATTCCAATCTCTTCCAGTTGTTAAGAATTCCCTGTGGACTAATTTTCCCTTTCTCTTGTCTCGATCATTTCCACCATCTTCAACCATTTACCTTGTGAGATGTACCCCTTTTCTCACATCAGCCTCTCACGTATGTTAATTTAAAAGAGTCTTAAACATTTTTAATATTCGCGGTTATTGAACTTAATTTTCCTCAGAGGTTTAATGTTCTTTGCTTAACAATATACATTTGTATGTACACAATTCCTTTATATACTCTTATTCCTCAAATATATCACGAGCCTAAGTTTTTCTAACAAATATTGAATTTCAAGGAAACTTAACTTTGCTGATAATTAATTCTGGGTACTATATTATTTTCCGGAAGTATAAAACGGAGTTTGTGATATACAAATATTTGTTATTTGAATACAGAGCTTCTTCCCCAACTCCTTAGAAGTACATTATATCAGAAAGGAGTATCCAACGCCATTGCGGACTAACAATGCGGTGGAACTGAAATTATTTATAACGCTCGTTAATTAAAGGGAAAACTCCGCAGAGACGAACTGACGAACTGCCTCCTTCAAAGGGGTAAAATCAGACAGTGTTGCGAAACATATTGTCATTGCAGGGCTCGAACTAGGTCCGTAAATTTGATTCAAGTCCGTAAAAGTCCGTTTTTTGAAAAAAAAGGACCGTAAAGTCCGTAATTTGACTAAAAAAGGACGAAAAGTTCGTAAATTGTATGATATAATTTGGAGAATTTTAGAGAAATTACAAATTATTGCAGAAATTCAATTATTTTCAAAAATTTAAAAAAAATTTTCGTCAAGATGTCAATTATCTTTATAAATAGTAAAATTCTTCGACAAAATTCAATTATTTTCAAAACTTTTAATAAAATTCAAAGCAAAATTTCAATTATTTTTTAAATTTGTTCTAAATTCAATTACCTTCAATATTCTATTATTTTAATCAAATTTCTCAAAAAAGAATTCAATTATTAAACAAATAAAAATTTCACAGGAAATCAATTATTTTTATAAATAATAAAACTCATAGGAGAATTTTCAATTATTTTCAAAAGTAGTAAAATTCAATTATTTTTAAAAATTTTTCTTAATTCAATAATTTGTATATATCTATTATTTTAATAAAAATTTTCAAAAAGAATTCAATTATTTAAAAAATGTTTTATAAAATTTTACGAAAACATTCAATTATTTTCATAAATTACTTTTAGAAATTCAATTATTTTTATCGCAGAATTTCAAGAATTTTTAATACAATTTTAAATACATTCATCGACAAATGCAATTATTCATAAAAATTTTATTATTTTTTATTAAATGAATAGCAAAATTCAATTATTTTCAGGAATTTAAATAAAATATATTTCAAAATTCAACTATTTTCATCACCTAACAATATTTATTACAAGAATTCAATTATTTTCAAAAGTAGAAAAATTTAATTACTTTTAGGAATTTAAATAAAATTCATTTCAAAATTCAATTATTTTCATAACCTACATAACAATATTTATTACAAGAATACAATTATTTTTATAAGTAGTAAAATTTAATTATTTTCAGGAATTGAAATAAAATTCATTTCCAAATTCAATTATTTTCATAAACTAACAATATTTTTTACAAGAATTCAATTATTTTTAAAAATTATAAAAGTTCAATTATTTTAAAAAATTTTAATTAAATTCATTGCAAAATTCAATATTATTTTCATAACCTAACAATATTTATTATAAGAATTCAATTATTTTCAAAAATTTTAATAAAATTCATTGCAAAATTTCAATTATTTTCAAAAATTTTTTTTAATTCAATAATTTTTAATATATTCGACAATTTTAATAAAATTTCCCAAAAGAATTCAATTATTTAAAACAACTTCGCCAAAGTTCTACACGAAAATTCAATTATTTTCTGAAATAATGAAAATTTTACAGGAATTCAGTAATTAAAAATCGAATTTGCATAAATTTTTTCGAAGAAAATCAATTCTTTGAAATTTTATTTATAAAATTCTTTAGTAATAATTCAATTATTTTCATAATTAATAAAACTCATCGCAGAATTTCAATTACTTTCAATAAAATTTTAATCGAATTCTTTGAAAAATGTTATTAAAATTCGTCGAAGCAATTCAATTATTTAAAAATTTGTTACTAAAATTCTTTATAAGAATTGAATTTTAAGAAACATTCCAATTTTTCAGAAAATTATCTATGTTTGTATTTAAATAATAGAATTCCCGTAGAATTTACTAATAAAAATTGATTTAAAAATTAATTTCAG